AGAGATGATTTCTAAATAATATAAGACTAGTAAATGATTAAAATCTTAAAGTATCGCTTTCCATATCTTAAGTAAATTAGATTTCAGTTAAGTGTGGTAAATGTCATCCTTATTATAAGTCTCAAAAGTCAAGTAGGCAAAAATTAAAACCTCTCGTCATTCGAAGAATAATGGATCTAAAGTTTAACCAAACACTACAGATAAATTAGATAGAGACCACTTTACTTTAAGGTAGTCATATGGTAAAAATTTTAATTTTAAAAATTTCAATAGTTGTTGTGGCTGTCCTATGCATTTCATACCTAATTTTTTTTAACCTTTTGAGCAGATAAGACACTGCTGTCTCTTTCATATCTATTTTTTTGACTCTCTAGTCATAAGCAAAAATATATTTTTTAATTTTAAAAATCAGTCTAATAGTTACTAAAAATATGTGTTAAATTATCGGAATTATATTTGTATGAAAATAAAATTTAAAAAAAAAGTTTTGAAAAAAAGTTTTCATATTCAGTAATTTATCAACTATTGATTTTGTAAATATAAAGAAATTTCAATGATAAGTAACTGTTTCGCTTAGATCTAAATAACTTCAAATAAGAGGAAATTTGAAAAATTATTGTTTCTAAGTGAGCTGTGTTTGGAAGATTTTACCTTTCACGCAGAAAAAGACTGTACTGCATATACCCATAAATTATTAAAATGCTAAATATAACATTCTTCACTTATTTTGACTCAAATTAACACAAAATATTGAAAAAAAGTACAAGAAATATGTTTAATAAAAATTCTGTGTCAGAGAATTAACAAGTGATGATCTGTGTTCTAAATAATTGAACAAGATTTTTTTTATTCGTTATTCATTTCTGTAACTATGCAATAAATTATTTATTTCAGTTATATTTTTTTATTTCTTTACTTAGTTTTTACTTTCAAACGTTGTCAAAATAGTAATAGTCGGGACTGCGAATGCGTTGGTTTGAGAATAAATTATTGTACGCATTTACTATTAAATTATTAAAAGGTTTCATCATTTATATATTTTCGTCTTTAAATTAAAAAAAAAGCTCAAGTAAGGACAAAACTAATTTGTTTAAAAATACACCGAGTGTTTTAACACTTATTAGATTTAAAAAATTTGAATCTAATTTAAAATATTAAAAGTATTATTTTAGACTGAAATGCTTTTTCTTTTTTTTTGGAGGGAGGTGCAATTTTTTTAACAACTATGTCTAGATTTGCTTGTAAGTGAATATTTCAAGTCTACAAAATAATGTGAGAGTAGAGTGGGGAGCAATAAATACTTTTTGAGTTAATATGCATTATTATACACTGTTAGAGATTTTGGAATCCGTAAACCACAATAGTGTTTCAATATGCACCAACCTTAATGCAGCACTACGTTCAGCATTATAAACTTGATTACACAGCATTATACTCAGTAAAAACTATACACTGTGATCAAATTACGGTAAAAACTATTGTCACTCAAGATTCCGGTACTTTTTACCGTAAATTCCATTTTTATCGGAACATGTTACGGAACAAAAAATATAATGTACCGTAATTTTTACAGCAATTATCGAAAAATCACTAAATCATTATAATTAAATAAATATTACTGTAAATATTATATTATCAGAATTTGCGATACAAATGGATTTTACGGAAAATGCACCAATAGTTTTAGTACTTTATACCGTAATTTGATCCAGAATTTTTCACAGTGTGCACTGTTAGAAATTTCTCGGAAAAATTGGTTAAATAAAAATTTATTGAGTGGTTATTTTACCATATTTAATCAAAACAGTCAAATAACCATAAGTAAAATGGTAATAAAACTGTTAAGTTTGAGAAAAACTGTTTATTAACTGCTTTCACCTAATACGGTCAAACAGCCAGAATTTTATCCAACCAACTGGAATCACCTAATGAAGCTACTTACATATCATAGCCGATCGGGCTTATCTGTCAATCTCATGAGCTGCAGAACTGGAGTTCGATTCCTAATGTTGACACCACAATATTTCCCCCATTTCCTTCAACACATAAAGAATTTCCAGTATCCGGCACTCTTCAATGCCCACCGTTTTACCAAAACCCTCACTCCTATGTCTTGTTAAATAATTAATTTTTTTTAATGGTTTTGAAAAATGCTAGTTGTAAATGGTTAAAAAAACCGTACTGATGGTTTTATAACAATACTTTTTGTAAATGGTTTCAAAACCGTAAATGAAAAAAATTTTCTTTACCGTAAACTTCACAGTTAATCAAATGGACAGACAGCTACCAGTTATTTTACCATAATTTTAGAATGAAAATTTTCACAGTGTAGTTAAACTTTAATCAAAACAGGGTTTAATCAAAACATCGTGTTAAGATTGCAACCAATTTATAACATTTTGGTTTATGATACTGATATTTTTCTTCAAGGTTGAATCGATTTTTCTGAGGGTTTAGTAATTTTTAAAGAGAATAAAATATCACGAAATGAAATCGTAAGAAAAGATAACTAATATAATTTCCTTTATTTTATTTCTAGACCCATTTTTCCCATCAAGGGCCGTATGCTTCTTACCAATTGAATGCATTTTTTTCTTAATATAACTCTTTAACAGATATTATTAAAAATATTCCAAATAAATTAAGTGGATTTGAGCGTGACTACAATTATGATAAAAAAAAAATCGTAATTTATTTTTCCATACCACACACACACTCTACAGATTACAACAATAGTTTTCAAGGTTGCGTTTGCAATATTTATGTCAAAATTAGTTTTTCAACTGTCTCCACGAGTTTGAAATTTATCTCTTCTCTTAGGAAATTTAGCCAGGACATTGGCCCGATAATTAATTCTTTTGACTTGCGTTCGGACTTAAATTATTTTATTTTTCATTGTTGTGAGCAATTCTTAGGTTTCAATCATCACCCAATCAGAAAAAAATATAAAAAATGACGTCATTTCTCCATTGTCATTGGTAGAAGTATTTTGAAATTGAAAGAGCCACAATTAATATTATTGGTGTGGAAGCCCCGCTCTTTGTTTCTTTTTCTGACACTGTATTTTCCCTTATTAGCAAGAAAAACTATTTGGGGATGTTTCACTGCCCTCGGGTAGTCTCATTAAAAAGAAAATAGATTTTTTTTTTTCCTTTTCGAACATATAAAAAAATGTATACTAAAAAATAAATTCTTTTGTTCGTGTACGGCGGTTCTTTAACAACTAGACTTGAGAAGGATTAGCGAACAATAGCAATTAGTCAAGCGGTGTTTTTGAAAATATTCTTTTTAGAGCTGTTATATTTTTAAAAGAAATATTACACTTCTCTGATCGATATTTTTCATTGTAAGATTGTCTTTCCGGCTGTGAACTTACTTTTATAATTGAAAATACTCCGGGCATCGCCACGACTGTAAATTCTATTTCATAAAAGAAAGAAGAAAAAAACCCATCAGGGAGTCTATATATCTCGCCAAATGAAGTCAACTTTTTTTTAAGAGAGTATATAATTTTACACGATGACGTAGGAAAAATGTTATTCTCAAAGAAACATTTTAATTTATTTTGTAAATAGCATGGTCGAACGTTGAAGTGATTGGAAATTCATTATTTGTAATAGAAATTTGTACCCATTTTATTTCAACAAATGTGGTGTGAATAGGGATTAATACAACCATAAAATATTTTCGAGACTGATTTTTCTCGCAAATTTATTAAATTAGTCGAATGCCTTTAAACGACGTACGTTGTTTCTATTCAAATACGAAAAATTTATTCATTAGATTTATTTCTGAATAGTATTCAGTTACTCAGTTATTTTACTGAATTAAGTATAATTAAGTTTTTTCCTAACATGTTTTAGTTCGAAATTTTAAATGAAGCGAATATCTGAGTGTAAAAACGAGTTAAAGGGCGTTTCAGTGAATATGAAGAAAGAAAAAAAAAAGATCAGATTTAAAATGTATGAGAACATCAGAATCGTAACAATGTCTACAAAATTTCTGCACAATTTCAACAGAATTAAGACAATTTCTACAAAGGAAAAAAAATATAGAAACAACTACCCCAATACATAAGATATTCAACCATAAAGTAATTTTTATTAGAGCTGGAGGACATCCAAAACTTCGTTGGGTTGACTCCATTAGCACAGATTTAAAACAAACAGACCATTGACCAGCATGGAGAGGTGTTCTAGAGAAGGGCGAGGCCCACCCCGGGATGTCGCCTCAATGATAATAAGAATGATGAGGAACATCGGGAAGCTGCTTATGAAACCTTTTGTTCAATTTAAAACCACCATATTTTATTATTTTGCTGAAAAATTAGCTGGTGTTCCGTACTTAAAATCAACCTCAACAGTTTTTTAAACTTAAAAATTTCAATCTTTCATAATATCATTTTGCATATTTTTCCCGCAAAGCTAGGAATCCATGAATGTAAGAGTGTAGATATAAATTAATTACCATTAAAACATTTTTTTACACGCATTCATGATCTGTAGAACAGCTGTAACGTAGCATTATAAAAACGCAGAGTTTTCCAATTTATATTTAAAATATATATTTAAAAAATATTAATAATAATATTTTTGAAAAAAATATTTATCTATTTAACTGAAATATCATCCATGATTAAAAAAAGACGAGAATTTTTAAAAAGCTCATTGAACTGAACTTGTGAGTTTTAAACGAAATAAAAATAGTAATAACTCGTCTGAAATTCTCCCTTTCTCTCAATAAAGTTATTAATTTATAACTGAATAATTAATATCTGAGAAGTGCTAGTTACATAAGGATAGTTTTTTAAAGATAATTTTAAGGTGTGTTGCGTACTTAAATAATTGATAAAATTCTAATTGAAATGGAATTTGAGGAAATCTATGTAAAACATTTTTTAATTACGTTACAGTAAGACATTATAGTTTAATTTTGTTTACCAATTAAAATAGTTTGTGATATTAAAATATACTTAACTTCAGTATTATTTATTTTTATAGGTAATGAAGATAAAACCCCAGAAGCCAAAGATGATAGGCGTCTAACGAGGTAAATATTTATTTTAATTGGAAAGCTTGGTAGAAGAACATATTATGCAAAATAAAATTTTATCAATACTCGATTTTTTGGGTTAAAGGTCATGTGCTTGTTTATGTTTATGCTATGACTATGAAAATACACAGAACATTTTATTATCCAAAATCTACAGGTGAAATTTTTTTCAGTGGAAAACTGAAACATCATTCTGCATTATGGAAAAAATCTAAACAAAAATAGTTTGATTGTTAGCTGAAACGTGGGTATGTTTTTAATAATTTCTCTAACAGTCACGTGGGTTTTAATGTTTTTAATCCAGACTTCTTCCATTGTGGTTCGCAGGATATTGATGAATTTGTTTTTTCTTCGTATAAATACTTATTTGCAGCCACAAATGTTAATAATTTTTTTTTATTTCATTTTTCACAAGGATTTAAAAACAAATATTAATCGTGATCATTGCGGAATACTTTTGAAATTTTATAGTTTATTTTCTCAAATTCACGAAAACATCACTAAATATGTCCTTCTACTAAGCATTTAAATATTATTTATAAAATATTGACAATATTTTGAAGTTGACTTTTTTTCTGTATTTAAAAAATAATTTTAATTTTTGTTAATTTCACTCAAAAATGACTCTTATATTAAATTTTAAGTTATTAAAACGTTAATTATCTATAACATTACTAAAAGTATTTTGAAGGAGATAATTATTTTCTCATACCAGTACAATCTTTACAATAAACTATAAATTTTATGGTTAATTTTTCGGTTATAAGGTTATTTTAAGAACTTTATTTTATTTGTGCAATTATCCATCAAAAGATTTCTAAACCATTTGACAATCCAGTTGGGTTTCGTTGCAAAAAATTATAAAAAATTCTAAGTAAAAAAAATTCTGAATTTAAGGAGGAAAAAAAAATTCAATTAAGAAAAATTCTAAATCAAATGGGAAATCCGCAATTTTTAAAATTTCTTATGCGTGTTTAATTAATGTTGACTTTCGACTTGACATAGTAACATTAAAATAAAAACTAATAGTTACGCCATCAAAACTTTTGATAACTATAATATTCAATGAATGAATGATAAATATATAAATATAATAAAATCACTCAATTTCCAATTGTTGAAAAATGAGTGTCTTAACATTTTTTAATATACGTACTTGTGATTTGTAATTGAAATAGTCCAAATATTATTCAAAATGATATGAAATAAGAAATTATTTCTTTATTTTAATACACTCATTTATAATACTGTGATTAAAAGAGAAAGGAGAGAACAAAAGGTAGAAATACTGTATCAAAATCGAGGAAAAAAGATTTTGAAACAGTGATTAGAATTTTATGTTTTAGCGCCATCTACCGGTGGTGTATTAAGAGTTGATAATTATTAATGAAATATATTTTTAATGTCCACTTGCTTTTATTTTTAATGTAAAGAGTAAAGATATAGCAATGGATTCGAAACTAAAATAAAGAAAATAATGTATAAAATAGAATAAAGGTATTGAAAGAAAGAGAAAAGCATAAAATAAGCATAGAAATAATAATAGAGAGAAAAGCATAAAATAAAAGCAATTGAATAAAAACATGAAATTGTTTAGAAGTTTTTAAGGACATTTAAAAAAAACATCAAACTATTTTTTTTTGTTTTTAATTACTAAAATTTAAAATATTGCTAATTATTATTTTCATAATGGAATTTTATCGATATAATTGCTCGTATTATTCTTCTAAACAGAAGTGGTTAATCCTGATTTAATTTTTGCTTCGAAACAAATAAAGTTAAAAATAGAATAGGGAAATACGCTGTACACACCATGGACACTGATTTATGAAATTATCAAGGGAGTTCGACTTCTAGCTGATATAGAGAACGAAAAATTTTAGTATTTACATGGACTAAATATTTCGAACATATTTACTTCTGCAAAAACTATTTTATCTATAACTCTTCACAACGTAAAAAATAAAATAAAACACAAAAAAAATAAAAATAAAAAAAATTATAAATACATAATTTTAAGTGATACTATATAGGGTATGTAAAATACTTTATAACTAAAATGGTGATAAATTTACAAAATAATGTCAGAGGAACATTTTCTGCGAAACATCATCTTGTGATACCTGTAAATATTTTAGTTATCATTGTTTTTTGAAAATTAAATTATAAAAATGTTGCTTCGATAAGATATTAATTAAAATTTTTTACAACTTAGAAACTTACAGACTGAATTGTGACAAAAAAAGATTTTTTTAAAACAAAGCTTAAAAAAAGAAGAAGAAAAATATCTAAAATTTATATCTAACTAAAATTTTGAATAATTTATTTTCGAGGGGAAAAAAACTATCGAAAATGCAAAAAATATAAGACCAAATATACTAAACTCAAACTATATGTTAAATTTATTATTAATTTAAAAAAATGATGAGCTTTTAAATGAATGTAAGCCCATGTTGGAGTGCTTAACAATTCCTAACTTTTATAATTATTTATTATTATAGGAATTAAAAAAATTGTAAAGGATTTATTGTTTATTCAAAGCTGATTCTGAAAAAAAGTGGCTTATATCTCATAGTGTTGGTGTCTCTGAATTAACCCTGTTATAAGTAGACAAGAACTGGTAAATACAGTTTCGGTGAAAGTACCAAAGATTTCTAATTTAATCAACAAAATTTATATTCAAACAAGCCATGCGTATTCAAGTAATAAATATATGTAAAATATGCATATTTGTATGTAAATTCTCGTATCAGTGAAACAAACGTTAACACTAACACATAATATGCTCTATCAAGGTTTAGTATATTTGTTTACATTTTTTACCACTAATGCGAGAAAAATAAAGTGATGATATGGATAAAATAAAAGGATGAAATGAAATACAAGTTAATAATAATGACATAAATGCGCCTAATGAATGTTGAAGGCATTAACATCTCAAAGTTTTTAATAATACTTTTGAAAATATCCATGAAAAGTATGAAAATAATTTTCAATCTGCGATCTATGATTAAGACTCACGAGAAATCTATCATATTATTCACTAGAATAGCTGTTATGAAATGGTGTTCCGCGGAACCCTAGGGCTCCGTGTTACAGTGCTAGGAGCTAGAGTCCAGCACTAGGGTTCCGGAGAGTTAAAGGGTTTCAGCAAGTCCTTACGTTTCATAACTAGTGATGAGGAGTTTAAAATCCCAGATTATTTTTTGATACAACCTATAATTCATGATTTGTTTAATCTTTCGGTTTCCTTTATTTTAAGCAAAATGCTGAAGAAAGAGAAAAGGCATTTTTTGAAAGAAAATATAATATTTCTAATAATAATATATTGCCTGACTGTGAAGCCAATGGCTGCGGGTTCGAATCCCACTCAGGGCATGGGTGTTTCCCTCTCTTTGTTGTCCTCTGTTATGTGTGATGTGTGAATGTGACCCAGCCTATATGAACGAGTATCTGCGGCAGTGTGGTGTGGGCCATGTTGTTCGCCTCCGTGACTTTGGTCACAATGTGCTCAACAGGCAACATAAAATGAGCAACACTTATGAATTCAGTGCCTGCGATAAATTCAGTGCCTGCTGTTAAAAAAAAATAATAATAACGATATATTGAAAAAATTATGAAAAGAACAAGCATTTATTAAATGTTGAATTAGTTATTCTCATTACGATTTTCAATTCAAAGCAAAATAATTCATATCTTTAAAAAAGAACGATTTTTCCCTAATAGCCATTTTCAAAGCAATTTAAATTTCCCTTTTGAAGTAAACCATAATTTATCTTTTTTTGTCCATTTTCAGCGTATGTATCTGCTCCAAAAACAATTTCATAACTAGACTAGATATAGCACTAGAACTGCCGATTCAAGTATCGTACATAAAACACACTTTAAGATTATCAATAATAAAACGATTAAAAATCTTCATACCAGTAATTAAATATTTTAAATTAAACTTATAGGTCACAATTACCTTAATAAACTTCAGATTTAAAGTCGGGGTTCCGCTGAAAGAAGGTTGATTATTTAGGGTTCCGTAGCCAAAACAAATTGGGAACTCTTGCACTAGATGATCTATCTTGCACTCAGAACTATTGATTTAGAGTGGGCGATAGGTCTGGAACGGCAATCCTCCAACTTCTCAGTAAACTTTCCTTGAAGCGGGATATTTATTTGCAGTGGATTCCGTCCCACGTTGGTCTATACGGGAATGAGATCACTGATTCGCTGTCAAAACTTGCCACAAATGAATCTCTGCCGGAAAGTTTGGCACTCACATCCTCAGAAATTCACTCCATTAGAAAGAAAGGTGTCCAGCTAGTCTGGAATACTCCCCCAGTACATATCTGGTACTCTGGAGATAAGCCGGGTCGTGCTTTGAACCTAAGAGATAATAAAGGCGATCAGACCGCGTTCACTAGATTCATCAGTGGTCACATAAAGTGCATGAGGTATGAACAGCAGCGAAAGGTCTATCCCACCTGCAACAAATGTTTCTCCAGTGCAGCCAGCCCGACCCACCTCCTTTCTGTGTGACCCGGTCTTGTTTTTTGATTTCCTGAGGGTGAATGGACTCATGGACCTGGTCTAGCTCCGCTAGACCAGTGGAGATGGGAAACAACAACAACAGAACTATTGATTTAAAATTGAAGTATAAAATTGGTTCCTTTGGACTTTAATTCCAAAGAAATATGCTTCAACCGCAATACGATATAGAATTGAACCATGATTCCTTTCAAACAAATTGAAACATTGTGTTAATAAGTGTAGAACTATTCAATTTGCCTAATAATGTAGTTCTGCTTGGCTGACAAACACCCTTTTAATATAAAAAAATCTCGTGCAAAACTACCAAATTTAAACTCTACCTAAAGCTTATTTGCATTTAATTATTCCTTGTCTCAATAGACCAGCTGCCTTGCAATGGGGTTTCAATTGCACTTAAATTTTTCTAAACACAGAGATTGGCTTTCATAANAAACTGTCTGAAATTTATTATTAAA